GGTTATTGTTGGGACCACAACTTTTCACTTTATACATTGAGGATCTAGATGAAGGAACTGAGGGCATTCTGGCCAAGTTGCAGATGATACAAAGATAGGTGGAGGGTCAAGTAATACTGAGGAGGCAGGGAGGCTGCAGAAGGATTTAGACAGGTTAGGAGAGCGGGCAAAGAAGTGGCAGATGGAATACAACATGCAAAAGTGTGAGATCATGCACTGGTATGAAGAATAGAGGCATAGACTATTTTCTAAATGTGAAGAAAATTCAGAAATCTGAAGTGCAAAGGGACTTGAGAGTTCTACTCTAGGATTTCCTTAAGGTAAACTTGCAGGTTGAGTTGGTAATTAGGAAGGCAAATACAAGGCTGGCATTTATTTCGAGAGGACTGGAATATAAAAGCAGGGATGTACTTCTGAGGATTTAAAAGGCTGTAGTCAGATCACATTGACAAGAATGTTTGGCCCCATACCTCGGCAAGGATGTACTGACACTGCAGTAGGTCCAGAGGAGGTTCACAAAAATGATCCCAAATATGAAAGGAAATATGATGAACATTTGAGAACTCTGGGTCTATATTCATTGGAATAAAGAACGATAAGGGTGAATCTAACTGGAACTTATAGAATACTCAACAGCCTGGACAGAGTGATCATTGGGCAAATGTTTCCATTAGCAGGAAAGACTAGGACCCGAGGGCACAGCCTTAGAGTAAAGGGAAGAACCTTTAGAATGGAGATGAGGAGAAACTTCTTCAGCCAGAGAGTGGTGAATCTATGGAATTCACTGCCACAGAAGGTTGTGGAGGCCAGGTCATTGAGTATATTTAATACCAGGATAGGTAGGTTCTTGATTGTCAAGGGGATCAAAGGTTACAAGGAGAAAGCGGGAGAATGGAGTTGAGAAACTTATCAGCCGTGATTGAATGGTGGATGAGACTTGAGGGGCCACATGGCCTGATTTCTGCTCCAATGTTTTATGGTTTTATGGCATTACACAAGTAAGCATCAGGCAGAACGAATGTCTAAGAACCACATTAGGTGGCAAAGCCAGACCTTAGAGATCTTTAGCAGTGCAAGTCTATGGCCTGTTTGTTACAAGCAGAAACAGCAGCAGTATAGTGGAATCCTGCTGCTTGGTCAAAGAAATAAAAGAAAGATTTGTATTTGCGAGGGACGAGCAGTAAATGCTGGGCCAGCCAGTGATACCCACATCCTGCAATTGGTTAGAAAAGGAAACAAAATCAGAAATTACTGAGAAAACTCAGCAGGTCTGGCAGCATCTGTGAAGAGAAAGCAGAATTAACATTTCAGGTCCAGTGACCCTTCTTCAGAATGGATTGTAGCAAGAACAAAGTATGTATATATGCTAGAGAAGGAGTGGGCAGATGGGGAAAGAGTAAACAGAAATGGAGCACAGATAGAGTGGAAAAATAGGTGGCCAGACAAAGGAATGGGTAAATGTCAGCCTGGGAGAATGAATAGCTGCTAATGGGGACCATCAGTAGCTGACAATGAGTTGTTGGTGGTAGGACCCCATGTGATGACAGGGCCTTGTGTGTAAGGGTTGGGGTAAGGAGTTAGCTGAAGGTGTTCAAGCCTTAAAATTATTGAACTTGATATTGAGTCTTGAAGTCTGTAGAGTTCCCAAGCAGAAGATGGGGTGCTGCTCTTCCAGCTTGCACTGAACTTCACTGGATCACTGTGGTAAGCCCAAGACAGAGATGTTGGCCATGGAACAGGGTGATGTGTTAAAGTGGCGTGCAACTGGAAGTTCAGAATTTAGGTGTTCTACAAAGCTGTTGCCCAGACTGCATTTCATTTTTCCATTGTAGAGGAGACCACATTGTGAGAGCGAACACAGTAATCTAGATTGACTGAAGTGCAGGTAAAGCCCTGCTTCACCTGAAAGGTTTGCTTCGGGCCTTGGATAAGGAATTAACATAAACCCTTAACACCTCAAGATGTCCCACTGTGCTCAACTGTTAAGAAGATTTTTTCTCAAAGAGGATTGTGTGACTTTGAAACTCTTAGCCTTAGAGGAGGTGGAGACAGGATCAGTAAATATTTTAAGATTTTTGTTAAACAAGGGAACCAAAGGTTGTCAGGAGTAGATGGGAATGCTCTTGTTGAAGTGCAGAACAGACTCGAAGGGCCAAATAGCCTGCTTCTTTTGCTACCTTGTTATAAATGTTCATATGTATTTATGTCGATACTTATGAAGTGTAATCTCTATAGTAATGTGGGGAATGAAATATCAAATTTCCGTACAGCAAAGGTCATCAAACAGGAATGAAATAAACCAGACAACTGCTTTTCAGTGATGTTGGATGTGATAAATATAGTCTGGGAAACGAGATAGAAACCCCCACCCCGATTTTCTTCTGAAGAGGCAGCCCCTCAACTTCTAAAATGAATTTTCCACCCACTGTTCTCTGATAGGCAGAAACACTGGAATGGGAAGTGGGAGATGTTGTGAATCTGCTCCCATAAGTTTAAAAGAAAAACTCACCTCTGTTTCGGATGTGAGTTTACTGTCTTTCCCAGAAATAACTGCAGAAATGAACATCAAGTACTATATTGGGCAAGGCCTGGCATTGTCAATCCCTGGTCTAGATTCCTCTCCCTAACACCTAGAAATCACTTGGGATAATCAGCAAATGGGAATTGGTTCCAATTTCATCAACATTCTCCTCCTATCCTTTGTGAATTTCAAACCATCTATGACACTGCTGGAAAACTTGACCCGTCTTCACCAAGATTTCCATTACTCATCCTCATCGTTCCACTCCAATTCTGATCCTCTAACAATTTGAACATAAAAGATATCTCCTTATTTACAAGTGTATTCAAAAAGCATAGCTCTCTCAGTATATCTCCACCTCCTGACTGTGGCACCCTGTACTTATTTCCCTCCTCTCCCTCATCAACAGTGCGGGCCTCAACCCTTCTTTGTTCAAATCATATTTCCGACCATGGCTTTCTTTTATCTCCTGTTAAGAAGCCAAAGCTTGAAGGGGAACTTGTAGGTGGTGGTGTTCCCATGCATCTGCTGTCCTTGTCTTTCTAGGTGCTAGAAGTCAAGGATTTGAAAGGTGCTACGGGTGGAATCTTGGTGAGTTAGTACAGTACTTCTTGTAGATGGTACAGACTGCAATACCACAATTTACTCTTGCTAGTTCAAAACCAAATCCAAATAATTTAAATGAATCTACATTTTTTGCAGCAAAACTGACAATTTGCAGTAACAGCAATGTTGTTGCATCTAATAAAGTGATGAGGATTTTTTTTCTGCATTGGTTTGGAACACACTGCCTGATGACTTCAGAAATAGAATGGGATAGATAATTGAAGGGAACTAGTTGGAGAGTGGAGTAAATTGGAAAAAGCACTAGTCTGATGGACAGAATGGCCTCCTTCCTCGCTGGATCATTCCGTGGCTCAGCAGCATCTGCTTCGTTTCAGTTAAGAGACCCAAGTAACAAATAGATGAGTTAATCACGCTGAATGCCTCGTGGGAATGCTTAGTGTTACAAATAATGAGTTTAAAATAAACCTACTGACATTCCAGAATAGGAAAGCTGCAACAGGTTGAAGTGTTAAACCTTGGGGTTACCTTCCTGCTTAACACAGCCCAAATAGCAGAGGAATCCAGGCAGACTGAAATAAAATAGACCAACGGAAAGGACTGCAGAATTTGCGATGTTAGTCAGCTGCACCTATCTTTCACATTCACTGCCAAACAATTCCCCACTCATAACATTATCCATGACTCCAGGTTAGATGGGATATTTTCCATCAGCTCTGCCTGTTCAGGAGGCATTCAAAACATCATGCTTGGTGCTCAGGTTTACCTGTGTTCAACATAAATCACCTGTAACCGTGGTGACCAGCCATTAATTGAAGCCAGACCCTGCTGTGTTTCTCCTGCTGCTGTCATTTCTTTAAATTGTGTTTAAATTCATCCGAAATGGTTGTAAATTCTGTGGAGTACAACAAAGCCGGACACACTGCAACTTCAATTGACTGCGGGTCACTGATAGTCTGTGCTCAGGGCAGATTGAAGAAGTTCAATGAAGCCAATTAAAAACGAACGGCAACGGCATTGCATCAGTCAGTTGAAGAATGGCTTATTCCCCCGATGACAGTCCTCAATGAGATACTCGATACCAATCACTAACTGATTGTTATCAACCCCATATCTTTATTGTGCTGACCCATTTGAGATTTGAAGTTCAGGTTTTTCCCTCAGCAAAACCAATGGAATGTCAGCCTTATTCTGGCTATGTTTAATCAACTATGGCCCTGGTAGAGACTTCTTAATACCAGATCAGGAGAGATGGCTTTGTCTTAGGGAGTATTTTACACTTTCTTCTTAATTTGTGAGCTAATTAAACTACTTTGTTACACACATGTAAATTACACACAATGTATAGTGGCCACACTTCCTACCCGAGTGAGGACAATACTCCATGGATATGAAGCAATGTGGGACGTTCTTTGGTGTTTGAGCAGCCCCAGTTTAAACAGTCCTCACCTTTCGAGGCTGTGATCTCACCCAACAAGGCCTTCAACCTGGTGTTCCCTCCGAAACCCTCTCCACTTCTCAACACCCTATCGTTTTTGTTTAAAGTTGTTTCTTAAAACTGATCTCTGATCAATTAAGCTTCTGACCAATCCCCCCATCAGTTCCTCCACATTTCCCCCTTTCTCCTTCTCCCACTCCTCTCCCTTTCTCCCCTCCCCTTATCAGATGTTGTTCCATAATTCACCAGTGATCCATTTATTAAGTTCAAGATGCTACCTAAATACAGGTTGTTATCCTGACACTATCAGTACAAATGGGGGTTTTTATTGCCTTATGGTTCTTTCCCCATGCAGGATGCTTGCTGGAAGTGGCTGTGCCTTTAAAGGGTTGTTTAATTTTTCAAGGACATTCATGACCGAGCGGTCTGTCCTGGGGGAGAGGGCTCTGCCTGCCGCAGTGAGGGAGAGCGGCTCCTGCTGTGCAGTGGAGTGGGAGTTTTCTGTGTGACTTGGCGCATCCTGGATGTGGGGTCTGCCTGATGCTTCTCTGTGTGTTAACGGAACATCTGCCCTTCTGTCCCCGTGCCTCTCTGCCTCCTGTTGGATGTACAGTACTGTGGAAGCTCTCCCTTTGTTTTGACTCCAGCTCTGAGCTCTCTCTCTCTATATGGTAACCAGCTGACTGTTGCTGTACATTTACCTTGAGCCAGAGGCATTGCTTGCCTGGGAGAGGGTCTCTGCTCTGACTGACACCCACCCCCGACTTTCTGCATTCGAGATGGAGAGCACACTCCCCTGCAGCCCCGCCTCTGGTCCCGGACACAGGCGACCATGAGCAGAGCTCCCTCCTTCCCCAGTCCTGCTGTCTTTTCCCTTCCAACATCTGCCTGCTTCACTACCCACCACCCTCCCCCTTCCTTCCGAGAGACTCCCATCTAGACAGACTGCAGCGAGCTCTCCCTCTCCTCCCCAGCTCTGCGGCAACAAAAGGTGAGCAGCTTTGTTTTTTTTTGTTTCTCTCTCTCTCTCTCTCAACAAAATAAAAGCCTTTTTGAATGGACTCGGCAAGCAGCAAGCCTCGGCTCAGAGGAGAGGCGTTTGAATGGAGTTGCTTTTGCATCGCTGCTGGCGGTTTATGCTGTCAAAGATAGCCCCCTCTCCCCTTCGAGTCTTTGTTAGCAGAAACATTAATCTGGTGGAAAAGTGAGAGGGGGCGGGGGGGCACCCGTTCCTAAATAGACAGAGAGTTGGGAGAGCTGAGACCTAGCTGCATTCTCTCACTCTGGATTTGCATGCCTGTCTACCCTTTTTTTTATCACCCTGATTTCTGCCATGTGTTGACTGCATAGTTAAAACACACACACACACACATTGAAGATTGTGGACCGGTGGGGTGTGTGTGTATGTATGTGGAGGGGGGTATGTGTGTGTCTGTGTGCGCGGATTGCGGTTTCTGACGGGCACCGACTCCTCAGGATTACACGGACACACTTAACAAGCTGTTGCCAGAAAGTGTTGGAGAGTGAGCCGGAATCTTGAGAAATAAGATATTTGCTTGTGTGACAAACAACGTTTTATTTGTAACAGTTTTACATAATGTGGAGCTGTGTCTGAAACGTGATTACTTTCTCCCGAATGCAATACTGAGATGAATAGCACTTCAAAAGGGGTCATTTTTCGTGGTGTCAGTTGACAAGGGACCGTATGCTGTGCAGGGCATCCCGTGTCCACACTTGGAATAACGATATAAGTGACCTTCCCCAGATAGTCCTTGGCTGCAGACTCTAACCTGGAAAGTGAGACTTCCCCTAGTGTGACAGCGGTTCAGTGGTAGCACAACACCCCATTCCCCCCCAACCTGGAGGCCGAGGGTTTGCACATGTGATGCTACAAAAAAACTTTTTTCACTTAGCGAGTAGTCCGGGTCTTCGAATGCACTGTCTGGAAATATGGTGGAGACAGTTTTAATGATGGCATTCAAGAGAGTTTTTACCATTTAAATAGAATCAATGTGCAAGGGTATGCAGGGAAAAAAAAAGCAGGAGAAAGGCAGTAGATATTGATGCACGTTTGAAGAATTAATGCAGACTTGATGGGCCAAATGGCTTCCTGTGCTGTAACACTTCTGTGATTATAACCCATTCCATGGAGTTTAGGACTTTGGGCAACATGGTGCCTCAGTGGTTAGCACTGCTGCCTCATGGCACTAGGGACCCAGGTTTGATTCCACCCTTGGGTGACCGTGTGCATGGAGTTTGCACGTTTTGCACGTTCTCCCCATGTCTGTGTGAGTTTCCTTTGAGTGCTCTGGTTTCCTCCCACAGCCCAAAAATGTGTAGGCTAGGTGGATTAGTGATGGGAAATGTGGGATTATGGGGATAGGTTAGGGTTGCTGGCTGGATCTGGATGGGATGCTCTCTGCAGGGTTGGTGTGGACTCATTGGGTTGAATGGCCTGCTTCTGCACTTTAGGGATTTAATGATTACCTAGGTTGACCCCCTTCAAGTGTAGTACAGAGTGACTGCTCTATTGTCAATGGTGCTTTTAGGTGAGATGTTGAACAAGACAGACTCTGCAAGTACAGACAATGTCATTTGAAGAAATTCTTTCTTGGTTATTGGGCCCAAAAATGGAGGAGTCCCTCTGCTGCCTTAGCCAATATTTATCCCTCAATATTATTTCATATTTCCTTTCTGTTTGTGGGATTTTACAATAGTAAAACAGTGACTGCATTTCATTGGCAGTAAAGTGCTTTGTAAAATGCTGTAGTCACTACATATAAACATAATCTCCTCTTTTACGTGCTCAACACATCATTAAGGCATCAGCCGAAGTCAGGGCATTTCAGGTCTCAGGATTCAGACTTGAACTTGCAGCATTTATATGCAATTCAGTAAAGTATTTGGCAAGGTTAGATCACATGGAAGACAGGGAGAACTAGCTTTTTGGATACAGAACTGGCTAGAAGGCAGAGGGTGGTGGTGGAGGGTTGTTTTTCAGACTGGAGGCCTGTGACCAGTGGTGTGCCACAGGGATCAGTACTGGGTCCCCTGCTTTTCATCATTTGTATAAATGATTTGGATGTGAACATAGGAGGTACGGTTGGTAAGTTTGCAGATGACACCAAAAGGTGTGGTGGGCAGTGAAGAAGGTTACCTCAGAGTACAACAGGATCTAGATCAGTTGGGCCAATGGGCCGAGGAGTGGCAAGTGCAGTTTAATTTAGATAAATATGAGGTGATATATTTTGGAAAGGCAAATCAGAGCAGCAATTATACACTTGAAGGGTAAGGTCCTGGGGAGTGTTGCTGAACAAAGAGACCTTGAAGTGCAGGTTCATAGTTCCTTGAAAGTGGAGTCCCAGGTAGACAGGGTAGTGAAGAAGGTGTTTGGTATGTTTGCCTTTACTGGTCAGTACATTTAAATATAGGAGTTGGGAGGCTGTACAGGTTATTGGAGAGGCCACTTTTGGAATGCATGCAATTCTGGTCTCCCTGCTATAGGAAAGATGTTATGCAGCTTGAAAGGGTTTGGGAAAGATTTGCAAGGATGTTGGAGGGTTTGAGCTTATGGGGAGAGGTTAAAAAGGCTGAGGCTTTTTTTCCCTGGAGTGGCAGAGGCTGAGGGGTGACCTTACAAAGGTTTATAAAATCATGAGGGGCACAGATAGAGTAAATACACAAGGTCTTTTTCCTGGGGTGGGGATGTCCAAAACTAGAGGGCATTAGTTTAAGGTGAGAGGGGAAAGATTAAAAAGGGATCTAAAGGGCAACTTTTTTCACACAGAGGTTGATGTGTATATGGAATGAGCTGCCAGAGGAAGTGGTGGAGGCTGGTACAATTACAACATTTTAAAAGGCATCTGGGTGGGTACATGAATAGGAAAGGTTTAGAGGGATATGGGCCAAATGCTGGTAAATAGGACTAGATTTATTTAGGATGTCTGTTTGGCATGGATGAGTTGGACCAGAGAGTTTGTTTGTGCTGTACATCTGTATGACTCTAAAAGTCTATCTCACTTCTATCCGATTTCATTATCAATTGATTCAATATAGAATGCAGCCAGGTCAGCACCATAGTGTTTAAAGGAGCCACTTCAACATGAGCAGGTAATGTTCATCCAAATGCTTGCAAAGAATGGCCAGTACTCTGGCTGTACAAACACTGGAGGGTATCTGAAGGTGAGCAAGGAGCAGATTCCTTCATTACAACAATTTAAATTCAAAAGTACTTCATCGGCTTTAAAGCCCTTTGAGTTTGAGAAAGGGGCTGTATAAATGTGTTTCCTTCCCCTCTGTAATGGTGTTTGCAAGATCATTATCCACGTTCAGTCTTCTGGTTATGCAAGCTAATCAATTTACAATGCTAGGTTCCATTGTAAGGGTTAAAACAAATAAATTGTACAAAGTGACGTCCTTGTTCATGTTTTGCTGATGTTGCTGTCTTTACAACCTATACCTTCTGGTACGAATGGATTCTCAAGTTAATCGGTTAGACTGGAGCAAAATGAGAATTAGCTTATTTCCTAATTAAGGCTCCATTTCAGGCTGGTTCAGTGGACTATTGATGGGCTGCTCGTATGAAAATCCGGGATCAAATATTGTCAAGGCAATTGATATGTGTTATGTGTTCTGCTTGAATGCAGAGAGTTCGGACAGTCTTAGTCCCTGTGGACACAGATTCATAGAACAAAGCTGCCAGTGAATTGGCAAACATTTGCAGAGAGGATTAATTTGCGATCTGGAGGGGAAGCTGTGTGGAGTGGAGGGAGATTCACTCACCTGGTGCCAGGCTATATGATTTTAAATTGTTTTTTTTACATCAGCACTATCCCTCAGTCCAATTAGAGCAAATTCCACAAAGAACGTTTCCCCATTGATGTACTTATAGACACAAAATATCGCTTGCAAAATATTTTCCGGTGAACTTATGTCTTACCTTGCGTCCCTTTCTACAGGAGGGGTTTCTTTTGTCACAGTTTCAGGTTCAATAACAATTGTATTCCGGAGGTTGATCTGACCTGGCTATGGACTTTGCTTATTGCCTATCATGATTGCAGCCTTCTCCTATCTCTCACACAACGACTGGAGAGCTCTTAGCCATTCAGGTAGCCTTGGAGAAAAATATATTGATTGAAAAAGTTTTGTTGAAGGCAGTTCTCCCCTTCCAAGCCCTTGACACTATCATAGTCCCGGCTCATGTTTGGAAAGTTGAAGTCCGCTACTATTACAACCCGATTATTCCTACAGCTATCTGCAATCCCCCTGCACGTTTGTGCCTCAATTTCCTGCTGACTATTGGGAGGCCTGTAGTACAATTCCATCAAAGTGATCACCCCCTTCTCACTTCTTACTGGCACCACTATAGCTTCACTGGATAATCCCCCAGGAAAATCCTGTCTATGCTAAGCCCGTGAAGGCTTGCATTCCAATTGTGGCTCTCTGCTTTTGTTTCTCTGACCTGCACTGGAGGGATACAGCTGGCTAAGAAATTGGAAACAAGTTGCAGCTACAGCTTAGGCTGGGACCTAACCATCAGAGACCCATTATATGAGGCTGGACATATGGAAAAACAGCTTCACCTTATTTGCACTGCTTTCAAATGATTGCTCTGACCTTTTGAGGAAATCCTAGCAGACTGGGGACAATTCAAAAACATTGGGGCAAAACCAAACAGCGAAAGAATGTACTTACAAAGAACAACTTCAGAAATGTCCTAAAATCCTTTACAGCCAAACTTGTATTTTTGAGGTGTACACACTGTTGAGGAAAATGCAGAAGCCAAATTGCACCCAGTAAGATCCCACAGATTATATGACTGGATAGTCTGCTTTGGGGATGTTGGCTGGTGCACGGATATTGGCTAGGAGTGGGATTTGAAACCACAATGATCTCAATCAAATGCAATCAAACTGACTGCTTAAGGCATCAAATTCTTCCTGCTTTACTTCTGTGAAATAAATGTGACCCGAGTACAGAGGGAAAGTACCA